AAACAAACAAATAAGGAGGACTTCTGTTTAACAAAAAGGTACCCTATTAAGAGAGTGAAAAGACAAACCACAGACTGGAAGATGATGTGTACAGTACACAAACCATACACATGAAAAGTGCTTAACTCTGGCAAATCAAAAGGAAGTAGACCATACAGTTTTTTTGAATGAGTAAAAGAACGGAAATGCACTTCACGAAAAAGGATAATCAAGGCTTTAGGCATACAAAAAGGGCCCAAAATCAAGATTCTTCAATGAAATTAAAACCATAGAAAAAAATCAGCACACATCCACTAAAACAGGTAAAATTCAATATAATGCAATAAACAGCCAGTGTCAGTGAGCAACTACAAGTGTCATAAACTGCTGGCCAGAGTATAAACTGAGACAGGACCTTTGCAAAACTGCTTGGCAGTCTGTACTAAAGCTAAGCATGTGCAAACCCTGTGCCTCAGCAATTACACCACATGTACACCTTATCAGAAGTAAATACGTTTCCAGAAAGAAATCATAATAATATTCTCAACAGCATTTTCCCAATTGCCAAAACTGGAAACAATTCAAATGTCTATCAATACTAGAAGGGACAAATAAATTACGGTAACAGTCAAAATGTAGTCCTACACAACATTAAAAAACAAACTCTTCTCACATGCATCAACACAGAACTTCAGACGTACAACTGAATACTGACACAAAAAAGGTGTAGGTGCCTCTACTGTGAATTAAAAAAAAAAATGGCAAGACTAATTCTGGTGCTAATCCATATCCTGATCTTGGTGATGTTTAAATTTATGTGTTCACTTTGTAAAGTTCAACTTTCACACTTACTTGTGCACTTTTCTGTACCTATGTAACAATCTCACTTAAAAATTTAAGGGGAAAAAAAACCTACCTGAAAAAATTCAGCAAAATAAGTGGAAGTTCCAACTAAAGAACTCAAGAATGGACCTAAGGGAAAAATTGTTAGTAAGTACTAAACACATTTAAGTATAGAACTATGACCAAACCATTAGAAAACACAAATGCATCAACTTTCAACAATCTAAGTGTATACCACTGAGATACAGTTTATCTCTATTTCTGTATCATGTTAAAACAGCTGGACAGATTTTCCCCAAACTCAGCAGGTATGTTTGGGGAAATGTGACTTAAGTTACAGGCTACATGGTATAGACACAGTGTCAGGAAGAAGGAAGCTGTCCATCAGAGCAGCTGCAGACTACTGATTTGCAATGGAAGGCCTTTGCTCTTACTCAGCTCTTTGTACCCTGTTCTAGGCTGAGTGCCAGCAGGGATTTATTTAACAATGGTTGGTGATTTTTCAGAGAAACTCTAGAAAAGGCAATTAGCATGATATAACTAAAAAATAAAATTAAAAAATTAGGAGGTAAAATAGAGGAGAAGGAAAGAAGCATATGTGCACATCATTCATAGGGATAATATACACTGTCAGAAACTGAAAAAGAAATACAAATTGCAGGGCCATGCACTAGACCTACTCCATGAATCCCTAGGGATAAGACTCAAGAGATTCCAATCAACAGCCTTTCTGTTGAGTTGGGCAGGCAACTTAATCAAAACCCTAGACAAAAATAGCTAATAGAGGTATTAATGTCCTTTTAACTTGCTGAACTCCTTGCAGTAAATTAAGCTGTTCTTAGCCCAGATGGGCTAGAGAGAAATTCTTTAAGGACATATTATTGATCTGCAGTGCCAGAGACCTACCCTAGACTAGGCCTTGTATATAACCATTGAATGTTGACTAAAGAGTATACACTAAATCCAGTAATCACTGCAATGTAACGCCAGATTCTTTTTTTTTTTTCCCTGTGGTGTTATAGTTTGAACTCAGGGCCTCACACTTGCTAGTGAGGCACTCTACCACTTTAGTCACACCCTCAGCCTTTCTTTTCCTTCAGGTATTTTTCAGACTAGGCCAGCCTCACTCCTAGATCTTCCTACCTACACCTACTGCATAACTGTGATTATAGGATGTGTGACACCATGTCTTCTTATCTGTTAGCATGGGGTCTCACCAGCTTCTTGCTCTACCTGACCTCTAATCATGATCTCCATCTCCCATGTCTGGGATTAAAGGCATGCACCACCATACCCCCTGCAAACTGTGGTGCCAGATTCTAATGAAAGTCTTTAGTTTGGATTAATAATGAAAATGTTTGGCTCTGTACTTTTTAAGGGCAGATTTATACCTGGTCTCTTTATTCTTGACCTTAAATATTCCATGCTTTAACTAAAACTCTTTGCCTTCCGGGCTAAACACACTTTCAAGTGGTAAATTCATATTCCATTTTAGTATCCAAATTTCTACAAATTTCACCAAAGAGGACATTTCTTAGGAACCCAAAGAGAAATATACATATGAAGTTGATTAAACCTATCCCTTTCTAAAAGAGACTTCAGTCTGATGACTGCAAAGCATATACTTTATACTTCAAAAGACAAGGAAGAGGGAGCAAATATGCTAACTAACAGAATGAACAGTGTTTCTAGGGTTAAACACCATATTTAGTTCTGGGCCACCTGGTACCACAGTGAAGAAAAGACAGTATTAAACTCTGTGAAAAAAGACAGCATAGTAGTTTCTCAAAGCTTTTCCTTATAAGGATCTCCCAACTTTGCCAGCGGGGGAGCTCTGTTTTTACTTGTTTTAGATGAGGGATTTACAATTTATTAGAAGAAAATGTTTTGTGGCTTATAAAAAAAGAGGGCTGGTAGAGTGGCTCAAGCAGTAGAGCACCTGCCTAGCAAGTGTGAGCCCAGAGTTCAAACCCCAGTGCCACCCCCTAAAAAAAAACAAAAAAGAAAGAAAGAAAACCTTTGGAACTAATTGGTCTGGTCAACTACTACCCTTTATATAAAAAGACAAAAAGCCAACAAAATTAATAACTCACTTCAGCTGCATGGCTATCAAGCAGTTTCATGATCTTACCACAACCTAATCTTAATTTTTAATAACTTAATAATTTAATTTTCAAAGTGTAGCTCTGTGTCAGCAACAAGTACTTAAAAATAAAAAAAACCCCAGTACTAATGAAGCAATCTTACCAATAGTTCAACCTGGCATTCATTTTTCTTCTGCCTTACATGAAACTTTATACATGTAAGGAGATAATCCAACAGAAACTTTACAGCCTTTTGAACCACCCAAGGACTTATGAGAATTACAAGGTCACAGATGTTAGCTCTGCAGCAGACTAACTGACCTATTCAGATGTAAAGTCAACCAACCCACAAAACCAAATTTTCTGCAGCATGTAGGTCCAAATAACAGGGAATTGTAAGGGGGGGTTGCTCTGAACAAGTTCTCAGTGCAGCAGAGGTCTTCACTCTTCAATGCAAGATTTTAGCGGAAAACACTATAGCACCTAGCTACAACTATGAACGCACAAAAATGTATGTTGTGCACTTAAACATGCATGCAAACACCACGCTTACTACCTAAATGAAAACTCAGATTTCCACCTCACCCTGTTTATTGCAAGCCTGGACCTGGCTTTTGGCATGTTTGTGGACCATGACAATGGAGCAGATGTAAAATTAAGATGCATATGCGTAAGTTCAAATTCTATAAAGAAATCATTGAGACCAGATTTACCAAACAAAGTAAAATCCAAGATCCAGTTTTGAAATACCAATTACCTTTGCTAAGTTAAAGACATAAAAAATCTCTCATTAGAGAAAAATTGTTTCCAAGCCTCTTTCTCATAGTTTGGAATACGAAGGGTCCAAGAAAATCTATTGGAGTTTACAACAGGATCAATAATGTGAAAAACATTTTTCATCTAAAAATAGTTTTCTTCTCCCATATGAAACCAGCCAATACATTTTATTAAATAATTCAAATAATAGCCAGGCATGGTGGTACACGTATGTAATCCTGGCACTCAGGAAACTGTTAGAGGAAGACCAAGAGCTCAAGGCCAGCCTGGGCTACAGTAGTGAAGCCCTGTCTCAAAAAACAAAAATAAATAGTCACTTTATATACTAAGTCCATATGTTTACAATAATTATCAAAAATAACCAAAAATTATTAATAAGTCAATACAGACCTATAAAATCTAAATTCTAAAGTGGTAAGAGTGCTGGGCACCAGTGGCTCACACCTATAATGCTAGATACTCAACAGGCAGAGATCAGAAGGATCACGGTTAGAAGCCAGCCCAAGCAAATAGTTCACAAAACCCTATCTCGAAAAAACCCTTCACAACAAAGGGCTGGTGGAGTGGCTCAAGGTGTAGGCCCTGAGTTCAAACCCCAGTACTGCAAATAAATAAATAAATAAATAAAGTGGTATGAGTCATTCTTTACATGTTTGTAAAATATTTCTACCATAAAGGTCAATATTTCCGTGGGCGGGCTCAAGTGGTAAAGTGCCTGCCTAGCAAACATGAGGCCCTGAGTTCAAAACCCGGTACAGCCAAAAAAAAAAAAAGAGAGAGAGAAAGAAAAGGTCATTATTGCTTAATATTCTTCTCCAAAAAAGAATTCACTTATTTGAAGATAAACCCAACACTTCTTTAACAAGCAGAATAATGTTCAAGTAACAGATATATCCAACCAACAAAACAGGAAATTTTCATATGCCAAGTTTCAAACGGTAACACTTTTATCACACCCATCATCAAGGAAAAACTGAGAGACAAAATCAACCCTAAGAGGTGACTGAGAAGACAAGAACATACAAATGATTAATTTAGTCCAACTAAAATTTCTCTAGCAGAGTATCAGTATCAGAAGATAAAATCATAATACACAAATATTTATGTCTATAAGTAGGTTATTAAATATGTTTACATTTATTTTGTCACAATTCCCTACTCATTGTCTATTATCATAAAAAATGTTCCCTTACACGGTAGTAAAAAAAAAATTTAATTACCAATCTCTTACTTTCTTTACTGAGTTATTGTTTTACCTTCCTGGAAATTAACATTTGTTTGATTATAATCACAAGAAGCCCAATTAACCAAATTCACCTTTGGTACTGCTTTTGCTTTCAAGCCTCCATTCTCCACAGCACGGAGGTCCAGGTTGCCATCATCTTTACTTCCTATAGCTTTTAGGCCTTGCAAAAGAATATCACGCAGGTTTTGATAAAGAGGTTTTTCAGTATAGTCCAGTAATTTCACAGTTTCCATATATTTAGCAATTTCACCTAAAAGAATAACACAGTCATTTTATAATTTTTTAATCACAAATCTGATGTATTTCTTTAACTTATAAGAAAACAATTTATGGCTACTGTAAAATTAGAATGCAAATATACAACATCATTTTAAGATATCAATTTTTTTCAATCTCTTGTTTAATGAAAGGTATGTTAATTTAATTTTCAAATAAGTAAAATAAAAAATATTTTGAGATACAATTTAAAAATTTTTTAATTGTGAAAGACAAGAAAGTATAAATATTTAAATTTAAATATGAATAAATGTAGTTCCAAAGCTATACAAATACAAAAGAAACTAGAAGAAAGATTCTTAAAGTAAAATGTCATTAAATACAATAGATATCAGAGCCAATATATTTCAGCGATAGAAACCAACAGTTCTGTAACACACAGCTGCACTCTTTGCATAAGGCCTAAATAAAATATGTCAAAAACAGAGTGAAGCAAGAAGTACGCCCTGATTTTTACATAGAAGAGAAAAGCTGCCTTCTGAATGACAAATGTGCCTTGAGACAGAACCAAATCTTAGAAGAAATCCCACCAGTCATGATCAACTTTTTTCAACATTAAAAATCCATTTTGGGCTAATGACTCCTACCCTTAACCTCTAGATTTGCATGTCAACTGCCTCATTTATTTGTTCTTGGATATGTAATTGTCACCTGAAACTCCGACAAGTACATCTGTGTACTCCTGACCTAACCCCAAACTTGCTCCCTTCCTTGAACCTGCTCAGTGTTCCTTGAATCTTTTCTTCCATCCCTTGTCCAATAAATCAAGACATCCATCTTGTCAGTGCCATGTAGAAACGTTCATTAAGTGAAATACTTAAGCACCAACTATGTGCCAAACTCTATTCTAGATACTGGGGATATAGCAGGATAGTAAGACAAAACTTTCACTTTCTTAATCTGATAAAAGGGATCTACAAAACACCTAAAATAAATATCACTGTGTCTGCCAAAATACTGAAAACTCCCAGGCTGACAGAGTGGCTCAAGTGCTAGAGTGCCTTCCTAACAAGCACAGGGCTCTGAGTTAAAACTCCAGCATAGGGGCTGATGGAGTGGCTCAAGTAGTAGAGTGCTTGCCTAGCCAGTGTCACAGCTCTGAGTTTAAATCCCAGCACTACCAAAAAAAATTCCAGCACATGCCCCCAAAAAAAGATGTGTGAAAAATCCCTCTGAGACAGGAAAATACCAAAGATGTCTGTCCACTTTTACCACTTCCATACAGTTTAACAGAACAGATATACATGCTTTTAGCTAGTTGAAGGCATGACAAGAAGTAGAAACTATAAAGAGTAAAATGGAAGGTGTGAAGACCCTTTAGTTACAAACAACATGATAGCACGTGCACAAATCCTACAGAATCAAACCAGGCATGGTGGCACACCTCTAATCCTAGTACTAGGCTAAGGCAGGAGGATCATCAGTTCAAGGCCAGTCTGGGATATATGGCAAGATGCTCTTTCAAAAACCAAAAAACAAAACGAAACTAAAAAAAAAAAAATCCCACAGAAAATCTACTAGACCTAATAGGTAAATTTAGCACAGTTATAGTATACAAGGTAAATGTGTAAAAATCTATCTTACTATTCTATTTCTATATACGATCAAAAAGCATGAGATTCTGAGATGGCGACTACAGGGAGGAAGCAGAAAGCGTGCTTCCGAAAGTAAAATCATGGACAGACGCTGGAGATACACCTTGCAGGAAAAACCACCAAGAAGAGGAAAAACTCCAACACCTCCACACCCCAGCCCACACATAGCATCCTTACTCCAAATTCAATGGAGAAACCAGGAAGGCGCCCACACCGCCAGACGCCAGCTCCTAACCTGCTTGGGAGAAGCAGACAACCAGATGAGCTTAGCGGCACGCGGTTCTCCCACACACAACCCTGGGCTAAATCAGCATAGCCACCTGGACAGACTGAACCCCACCCAGGGAAAAAAGAGAAAAAAAACAAACTAAATAATAAACAAGCAGCTGGAAAAAAAAAAAAAAGAAGAAGACACTTAGCAAAGAGGGCAAGGGCACCCTGAGCTCCGGAGAGTGGGGGAAGGGCACTCCCTCATGGAACTGCCAGAAGGCAGGAGTGGCGCCACCACCCCCAGTGCACTTGGAGAGGGGAAGGCTTCCAATGGTGGCTAAAGTGTGGCACACTCCACAGGAGAGTGGGGAGGGTCACCTCCCCACACGAATTCTAAATAAAAAAAAGACTGCAATTGCAAAAGGTGGGTAGAGCCATACACTGGAGAAAACAAAAGGGGCATGCAATCAGGAGAACTCTAAATAAACAAAGTCTGCAGCAGCAGATGGCTGACAGTAAGAGGCAGGTGAGCCATAGCCTCAGATAGACATTCACAAAGCTGTCTCCAGACTGCCTTTTTTTTTTCCTACTTCCTTTGATGAGACAATGACAGAACTAGGGCTGGATGCTGAAGTACTAACTGAAATTGTACTGCATTTGAACTTGGGATTTTTTTGTTTCTTTTTCTGATTTTCTTTTGTTTTTTATCCCCTTTGATGACAAAACGACAGAACTACTTCTCAGACACTGAGAAGTCTTCAGGACTGGAGGCTGAAGAACTAGCAACAAAATCATTAAGACTGAAACTTTATTGCATTGGAACTTAGGGATTTTTTATTTTATTATTATCCTCTCACTGTGCTAATGCCTGTTTAGCTTACTGTTAATTAGTATACTATCTCTCCATGTTTATTTCTTTGGCTCTGTTTTTTGTTTGTTTGGTCGCTTTTTGTTTGTTTTGTTTTTTTCCCTTTTTTTTTTTTTAACCTTCTTTACTTTCCCTCTCCTCTCAACCTTCCATTCTAGGTATCACCATTGTTATTATTACAAGCTGGACAATACTAACTTACACAGAATACAGGGACAGTAACAATATCAAGGGCAATGATGGAAAGACAGAAAAAAGAGGGAAACCATTTTCCCCCCAATAAAAAATTAGTACAGGAACCAAAGGCAAAAGAAGAAAACAGATACCCAGATCCAGACTCCAACAAAACAAAGATAAACTATATCAAAGAACCCAACGAAGCCCACAAGAACATTCTGAAAGAAGAAATTCTGCAAGTAATCAATGAGAATTTCATAGAGATGATACTGGATATAGTCAACCAAAATGTACAGGAAACACTCAAGAAATTCCAAGACAACAAAAATAGAGAATTTGAGGAAGCAGAAGAACAAATAAAAGAAACTATAGAAGCACTGTGTATACACCAAAGTGAAACAAAGAACTCGATAAATAGAGATAAATGAACTCAGGACGAAAACAGAAAATATGAAAGAGGAAGCGACACAGGATATAGAAAACCTCAGAAAACATAATGAAACACAAATGCAAAACAAAATGGAAGGCCAACCCAGCAGACTACAACAAGCAGAAAACAGAATCTCAGAACCCGAAAATGAAATGGTAATTAAAGGAAAACCGAAGAACTATTAGCTAAACAACTCAAGACCTGTGAAAAGAAAATGCAAGAACTCACCAACTGCATCAAAAGACCAAACCTGAGAATCATGGGCATTGAAGAAGGAGAAGAGATGCAAGAAAAAGGAATGCATAATATAGTCAACAAAATAATTACAGAAAATTTACCAAATCTAGAGAAAACCATGCCCATACAGGTACCTCCAGACCTCCAAACAGACCTGACCAAAAGAGAACTACCCCATGACATATTGTCATTAAAACAACAAGTACAAAGACTAGAGAAAGACTATTGAAGGCTGTAAGAGAGAAAAACAAATAACATACAAAGGTAAATCCATCAAAATCACAGCAGACTTCTCAACAAAAATATTAAAAGCAAGAAGAGCTTGGGGTGAGATCTTCCGGGCACTGAATGAAAATAACTTCAACCCCAGGATACTCTACCCAGCAAAACTATCATTCAAAATAGATGGAGCAATATAAGTCTTCCATGATAAGCAGAAACTAAACAATATATGACCACAAAGCCACCACTACAAAAGATTCTTCAAAGGATTCTGCACATAGAAAGTGAAACCCAACATAACCATGAAAGGACAGGCAGCACCAAACTACAGGAAAAGAAAAAGCAAGAAAGTAGAGAGTAATCTCAACTTAGGTACACACAATCAAACCTTCAAACAACTAAGACAACTTAATGACAGGAATCACCACATACCTATCACTACTAACACTTAATGTTAATGGACTTAATTCCCCCATCAAAAGGCACCGCTTGACAAACTGGATTAAAAAGGAAGATCCAACAATTTGTTGCTTACAGGAGACCCATCTCACAGACAGAAATAAGCATAGGCTTAGGATGAAAGGCTGTAAGAAAATTTACCAAACCAATGGCCCCCGAAAATGGGAAGGAGCAACAATACTTATCTCTGACAGAGTAGACCTCAAACCTACATTGATCAAACAAGATAAAGAAGGACATTTCATACTAATAAATGTTGGTCAAATGAATTCAAATGTGCAGGTAGAGAAAGAATTTGACCTCTCATCATATAATACACGAGTCAACTGCAGGTAGATGGCACATCTGCACGTATATCTGGCAATCTGTAATTGCCAAAAATTAGAAATAATCCAAGAGCAGAACAGATAAATAAATAATGGTAAATAAATGCAATGGAACACTATTTAGAAGAGAAAACGAACAAGCCACTGTGAAATATGCAACAATGGGGATGAATTTCACAAACACAGTACTGAGGGAAAGAAAAAGGGCATCAACAGAAATAGACTACACAGGACAGGGATTTTTACCTATTTCACTCATTGTATGATTCTGTTTATAACTTTTAAAAACAAATCTGGTGTTAGAAGTTAAGCCAGTAGGGAGACGCTACTGATTGGTAAGAGGCACAAAGGGTAATTCTAAGGAACCATATCGTGTTTCTCAAAGTGAACCAACATAAAGTCAGGGTTGTCCTCCCTGAAAAGGAGGAAAATTGAGCAAAGGCCTGAAAAGTCTTCTAAGTAGGCCTCTGCTGACACGTGTCACTGGCTCCACTGCCCCTTCCCTTGCCTGGATTGATACAGTACCCACCAAACCTGCCTTCTGTTTATGTCATTCCCTGCCTGCTCTGCAATCTCTCCTCACAACAGAAGTCAGAGAGATTTAAAGACAAGGCAAGTGATGTCACTCTTCTACTCCTAACCTTACACTCTTGCTCAAAGTAAAAGCAATGCCCTCATGATGACCTAAACAGATACATTCTCCAAACCCACCAAGCACATGTGTCCCTTCTATCCAGAATCCTCTTCCCAGACCTTCACATCACTCACTTCCTCACCTCCTTCCTGCAATTGCTCCAATGTCCCCTCCTCAATGAGGCTGGCCTTGACCACCCTATGCAAAATTACAATCCCTCTCCATAATCCCTATCCTATCTCCTCACCCCCAGCTTTATTCCTGGTTTTCTTATTTTTCTACAGTGCTAACAACACAATATACCAAAAAAATTAGCTCATGGCTTCCAACTAGAATTTAGCTTCATGAGGGCAGGGGTTTATGTGTTATGATCAGTAATGGAACCCCAGTGCCTACAACAGTCTCTGGCACACAATAAAGGTTCAATAAATAATACCTGCATGAGCAAATGAAATTTGCTTTCTTTCCTTAAAGAAATGTATAGTTGAATGAGGCTCAAATACTTATAAGAACTCATCTGTGGAAAGGGAATGGTTTTTTTTGGTGACAGCAAGCCCCTGTTCAATGGTTACACTTACAAATCCTTAAGGGATATTTTATGGACATCACAGGCCTTTTCTCCTACCAGAAAACAAAATTCTTATGAACACCCAAGAAGTTTTTCCTACCTGGCTTGTTTTTTTCAGGAAAACATTTCTCCATCAAACCTGCGATATTTTCTCTGTATCTGTAAAAAAAAATTAAGAATGAATCATTGTTTGAAACTTGATTTTATATTGTTAATATTTAATAACAGTATACAGCATTGTTACATCTGAAATATGCTTACAAATATTCTTCTAAAATAAACTGAACAAATGTCAAAAGAACCTTACTGCTTAAAAAGTACTATCTTGCTTCCACATTAGTGTCATTTTTCAAACTACAGTGCCAAGCCAGGCATAGTGGCACACATTTGTAATGCCAGAACTTAAGAGGCTGAGGCAGGACAAATCCAGGCCAGCCTGGCTACAAAACAAGATGCTCTCTCAAAAATAAACAAATAAACAAAATTGTTTTAAAAATTAAAAAAAACAGAAACACTACAGCTCCTATCAAAGAAATCTGACTAAAACCATTTGTCATATCACAACTTTCCCAAAATAATTTAAGTTGTCCTTTACCTAATTTTGGAATCTCTAACATAGTTAGGATCTTTCAAATTATCCTCCCAAGGAAGATGGCCACTAAGCCACTGGATCATGCAATAACCAAGTATTTCCAAATCACCACGTCTTGATGGGGCTACAAATACAAAAGAAGATTAAGCATAATAAAATAACTTTTAAGGTATAATTTCATGTATATATAAAGCAATAACACTAAGTCTGTTTTTCATCATAAAATTTTGCTTATAAGGAATAAAAGTTTTGAACATTAGTTTGCATAGAAAATACTTGACCTCCAACTAGTAATTTACTCCAAAACCCAAATTGGTAAACTTTAGGATTTCAAACTGAGACTAGTCCTAGACTATTAGTTTAGGAAAATTATAATGCATTTAATACTGTCTTTGGAAAACTTGAGGATATTCAAAATGTTACATATTATTAAGAGGACTAGAGAATTAGGTCTACAAAAAAAAGAATGATTTATGGCCAAACTACCCTGATCTCATCTGATCTTGGAAGCTAAGGAGGGTTGAGTCTGGTTAGCACTTGGATGGGAGAGAAAAGAAATAAAGAAATAAGCTATTTCTGAAGAAATAAGTTAACTTACAAGTGACAAAATAAAAGCTACATGTTATGAAGTTATAGCTGCATAAGAAAGTTCAGACTTTAGAAAATAAAAACAAGCCAACATTCCAATTAAGTTATGTACTACTAAAAAGAGATCTTGACTGTATTTGAATAAACCATCTTACCACTACAGCCTTCTCAGTTATTTTCAAATGGTAGGAGAATGAGGCGGGAAGGCAGCACATGAGGACCATTACACAATTAGAAGAGTCTAACCTCTGCTCTCTTTACTGACTCAACTTTCAGCTCTTTAATTCTTCTCTAGTTATCTGTGCATAATTAAGAATTGTGTAGGAAATCAGTTAAGAACATTAACAGTGTGTTTCTCACTCAAGTACTGTGGAACATACCCACACCATTGTGAGCATCAATGCTGGTAAATTCAATGGTGCCATCATGGCATCTTTTGGGGTCTTCTTTGTATTCTTTATGAACTCCTTCTGGGCAGTACCGATAAGCAAGGCCATAATCCACCAAGTACACCTGTAAATTTGCAAGTATCAAGACAAATTAAAATCAGAACCATTGCATATATACTACTTTAAAATAGAAAAATGAGGCTGGGAGAGTAGCTCAAGTAGTAGAGCACCTGCCTAACATGTGTGAAGCTGAGTTCAAACTCTAGTACCACCAAAAAATAAAAATAAAATAATGTCATTTGAGAGTGATTTATCACAACAGCAAATCATAGCACTCCAAATAAGATCTGAAATGCACACAACAGCAAATATTTGATTCTGAAGGGCTATTAAAAATTCGTTAATTTATTCTTTATTTTGTTTGCAGAGCCTTGCACACATTAGCCAAGTGCTCTACCACTGAGCTACACATCTAGCCCAAGATTTTTTATTTTTAAGAAAAATGTTAAATGACCCTGTAGCTATAGTCTAGATAATATCATTTGACTATATGTACTTTTTTAGAGAAATATGTGCTAAACTTATAATTAATCTTGGCTCCTTAACTTGAGCAAGGATTATAGATCTTCACTTTTCCTACAATGTCCAGAACAAGTGAGGACAAAGTAAGCCATCAATATATGTTGTAATACAACTAATACTTTTCACAAAAAAAAAGCACAGAGTATCAGACTGCTAATATAGTTAACATATGATACAATAGTTATCTTCTGATTTTGTTTCCTCACTTGTAAAATAGTCAAATACCAATTTACTTGATAAAAATACTCCAAGGATTCTGATAATGATCAGAACTTTAAGGCCAGGTATGGTGGGGCATGCCTATAATCCTAGCTATGTGGGAGGCAGAAATGGGAGGACAGTGGTCTGAAGCCTGCCCTAGACTACCTGAAAAACAACTAAAAGCAAAAAGGGTTAGGGTGTAGCACAAGTGGTAGAATGCTTGCCTAGCTAGTGTAAGGTCCTGATTTCCAACTCCAGTACCACCAAAGGGTGACAGGGGAAAGAACTATAAGATGAGGCCTTTATCTACACTTAAATACTATATATTAGAGTCAATTCTTCATAATTAAACCTAAATTTGAATACCATTTACATAAATATGTGTAGCAATATATGGTTCTGATTAACACATGACACTAATACATTTGGCACTCTGTATCTCTAATTCTGGTAACTGTCAGGAATGTATGCGTGTAGGCAAAAGGAGAAACTGAAGAAAAATAGAAGGATGGATCTAATAGTGAAAAATAATCCCATCCACAGCATATGCCTGAAAAATAACAGAACTGCAAAACACTTTCATATAAACAAAAGCAGCATGTTTTAGTCAAGTGCAAACTAATGAGGGTTGTGTTTTTATAATATTATTCACAACCAGAATACTTCAATCAATAGGACCCTTATTGTTCTGGTTCTTAAGCTGGGTTTCAGGTTTTTTAGTTGGTGTTGTCCTTTTGTTGTTTTGAGACAGAGCTTTACTACATAGTCCAGGCTAGCCTGGAACTCACAACTCTCCTGCCTCAGTCTCCCAGTGCTAGGAATGCAGGCTCATGCCACCATGCCAACATGGTTTTTTAGGTTTTTTAGATGTTTTATTTTTAACAGATACAACACCTAAAATGAGATGTTTAGAAGGAAGTGAGATAAATTCTCTGATGGCCTTTCAGAGCTCTTCATTAGCATGCCATACTACAGCACCTTTCTTCTAGGGAAGAAGTACATAAGTAGATCCCTTCTATACATCACCACTGACATAGGGAAAGCAAACACATAACATAATAGAAGAAGAATAGGAGTGAAAGGAAAAGGAAAACTCAGCAAGAGGTAAAGATAGGCTTGAAAGAAGAATGATATATATAGTGTACTGATCAATAAGTACACAAAATCGAATACATTTAAAATGTTTAAATTTTCCTTTTATATGTAAGATCAAGTGAGAACACATATAAAGTACAGTGACCCAACTATAAATGTCAACTAAACCTTACTTTTACAAGAAAACACGTAAACAGCTGTAAGAAAATTGTATAGATCCCTCTACTTTAAATTGACCTTACAGTATTAGCTTTCCTCCTTCTCTTAAACAGTAAAAACTACAAAGGGGACATAATAAGCTTTTAAAAATGTACATGTGAATTCCAAACACTAACGGTATACAAATTTAGACAGCTCAGATATTTCTATAAACCGATTGATTTGAATAATCAACACGTTAAAGAACAAATTATCCAAGTAACAGAACACTTACATTTGATGGATTCCTTGAACAAAAGAAATAAAAAAAGTGACAAAGCAGACAGGCAAACATAATTCATCAGTGTACTATATAATTTTAAGCTTCCACCCCCAAACAGCTATTTGAAATTCATTTTGTATCACAAGCACTTCTTCTGAATATTATTTAGGGCAAAATAGCCAACTTGATAAAATGCCAGCAAATTGCATCAAAAATGTAGAATGTTAACTAGATAAAAGTGTCAAGAAGAAATATTATTATTACCGTACCTACTTCATAAAGTAAAACTTCTGCATGGGTTCAAGAGTTCAGAGCAACCATATTTGTTTTCAAACAACATGATTTAAGTAGTAAAAACTAAAGTTATAAAACTACCTGGTCAGGATTCTTGTAGCTCAGAAGAAGATTTGAGGCCTTGATATCTCCGTGTACATACTCGTGCTCGTGAATATATTCCAGAATATCCAGCTACGAAAGTATCATACAAAATAAGTTAATGCAGTACCTAACAGCAACCAGCAGAGGACCGAGCTTCAACATAAACTTGCCATTACTGTATTAAAATCAAATTTTTTAAAAAACAAGAAGAATGTAGCTCACATACAATTCTTAAGCTTAGCTGCAAGACAGTTTTCCGAGAAAACCTTTTGGCATTTGCTTCATATATTTTCTGAAGGTCACTCCCAAAGCGATCCATTATCATAAACCTGTAACTGAAGACAAACAAGAAAAGTCAATGAAGAAAATGTAACTCAGGAAAACATATTTTGCAATAAGAATTTTCCTTTTAAAATAATTTTTTCAAGGCAATGTTTAGGAACATAGCATTCTCTTGGGGGGAAAAAGGAAAAAGAAGGAAATGTGAACAAACATTCAAAACAATTTCACCCACCTGGAAATCTGAAAAATTCAGATTTCCTATTCTGCCTTTTACCCAAAAAGTCTGTTAGAAGACAACATTATTTAACATAACACCCACACAGAGGATCCAACAGATTCATCTACAATAAAAATTAAAATAATCTGAATAACAATGAGAGCATTGATTTTTCTCATAAAGTTAATTTATGTTTCTAGATACCAGCTTCCTCTATTTTTAAGGTACATTTCAACAATACCAACTTTCTGTTAAACTCAAGGTTCTCAAGAGACACTGTAACAGCTAACTGGTGTAAAAGGATGGTTCAGCAAACACTTGCTAGCCAAGATTTGGAAAAGAAATATCCTGGGAAAATGGGAAGATCTCTGGTTTTGCTACCAAACAGCTACATCACCTTGGCCAAATGACAACACTTCCATGGTCTGCAATTTCTACAGAAGTAAAATGAGGAAGCAGAGTCCTTTCTAAAGTCTTTTCTAACACTCAAATTCTAAGGTTCAGTCTACACTGAAAAAGCAATACCACTGTTCAGTTTTTCCTCTGAGGATCACTTTCATGCTCAGTTTTCCAAATTCCAAATTGTTTGGTAAATCATTTCCCACCAAAAAAATCAATAAAAGCCAACACCACACTCAAAATGTCTCACAAGGCATCTTCCAATGGGAATGAGATTATGAATCATCATCACTCTAACAGCCAGCATTTATTGAACACTTGGTATGAGCACATCTTTTTCTGCAAATCTTCTAATAAGTAAAATAAAATCTATGGAGATAAAATGATTTGCCCAAAGTCACACGAGTAGTTAGTGGCAAAAGGTATTCATTCAGATAAGATTCCCTGGTACCCTGATCTCTAAAATAATAAAGAAGGAATGTAATTTTGACTTTCTGATTTCCTCTGTATCACAGGTTTTGAAAGGCTCAGAGGTGAGAACAAAACACATGTATGTGTTTGCTTTTACAAATAAGACATGTGTATAATTATTATAATATATGGCTAACAAAAAGGCAACATCTGCTGACAGTCCGAAAGAGGGTTAAAACACAATTGCTTAATTCAACGTATGATCCATTAATAAATCATTAAATAGGTCTTTGTTCTTATGCACCAGTCACCCTACCACCACTCTCAATAATCTCTTAATCTCCTTCCCATTTCTAAATTATAAACATTAATTGAAGCATGATTCTATAAGCTGCATAGAAGTTGTTACCACATTCTTCTGGAAAGACAGCTCTATCACTGAGTAGTAAAATGAAAGGCATTTCTGAATAACTCCTCCAAAGTAAAAACCTTGGATGTATACTCTTCTGGGAGCTTAGATAAAACAATTCAAGTAATGGGAAAATATAAATCGGTATAAATGATTTCATAATGGTAACAGCTAACATTTTTGCAATCTTAACACTGTTCTAAGTGCTGTGTGTATGTGTTAATTCAAACAAATTACAAGGAAAAGTAAAGGATTTCTGGCAAGAAAGGGACTTGCAAGAATTATCTTACTTTCTATTTCTTTACTTTCAAAGACATATAATATTCCAGCAAAACCAAATGTAATAAAGTGGTACATGTGATTCAAGGAGTGCCCACACTGAAAGACACATGGATCTCAAGTAAAAAATACTGGTTGTCTGTCACCTAACAATACCTATGCCACTGCCTTGAAGTCCATCCTAACAAAACACCAATTTGGTTCAGGCACTCCATCCTCTTCCATATATCCCATTTGCCAGACCAATCACCTTGTCCTTACTAGTGACTGACTTAAGAATGAGCACTGGTAAAATTCAGACCAAGAAAATATGAGTCAGTCCACCACAGGACTCTGAGAAAGTTTTCCTTTCCTTTCTAAAAAAGAGAAACTCACAAGACACTGATACCACTGTCTTCTGTTGGGTACTGAGTCTGCATGTGAAGCCTAGAGATGGAGCAGTCACCCTGAGAATATCCAGAGAACAAAGCCAAGATCCGGCAAATGTGCAAGACCAGCCGGGTGTGGAGGCACACACCCGTTAATCATAGCACTCGGATGGCTTAAGGCTGGAGGACTGAGTCTAAGGCCAGTCTAGACTACATAACAAGTTGAGGCCAGCCTAGACTACATAGAATAACCCTGTCTCAAAACAGTGCAAGATAAGGAACATAAGCTCCTGATGATAACTTAAGATAGCTGAGTCAAAGTTTTCCTTTACTTGCAACTAAAAATTATTCTAACAAATATACCTGTGGTTTCAAACTAAGTCTACTCAAGTCTCTGCTACTAGCCTTACTCCATGAAATTTCACTCATTCACTCATCCAAATGTGTAATAAGTGTTGATTATGCACCAAAGTATTAGGGGTTTTCTCTAACTCAGCTATGCCAACAACATTCTCTCTATTCTCTCAATCCCTAAGACATCTAAGAGTCAGAAGTTACACAAGTTAGCACACAGTTGTTCTCTTAATATTTCATACATGTCCATGTTTCCTCTCACTAGATAGACTAAAACTCTCACTAAAGAATAGGATTCTCATTTTCCGTGGGCAGATTATGTATCTACCGAAATACCAAAAGGAATCCTAAGGATTCTCTTTTGCATAAAGGATATAAGGGTGTGGGGGCCCTTTTGGCTTTGTTTCTATTTGTCAGTTGATACTGTTCCACAGAAGTTCTCCAGATTAGAGAAGTACCCCTCCTAACAGGGAATCAATCTGCTACTACATAAAGAAGGAAGGAGGGATAATATCTTATTTATCTTATTTTCTGCCTCATATACCCCACATAGTCTAGATGAAGGCCTACAGAAATTGAGGGTGCTTAGTAAATAATTCTTGATAAAGCAACTGGATAAGAAATTCTCAGAGAAGGGAAAATAAAAGCAAACTATGCAGTGTTTACCTTTTTCCATCTTTGTCATGAAGACCAGATCCCCAGTACTTAGGGACACCAAGATACTTCAGTCTATGGGTACGAATCCATTTCTGAACTACAAGTTAAAACAAATGCTTGTGAGTTCAACTGCTATACAGAACTGATAATTATTCTTTTAAACTTAAGAGCAGAATGAGACTTCCCCTTTATGCATAAAACAGAATGAGTACAGTATAACCAATAAACACAAAATACTTTACAATCAAAGCATTTTATTGATGTACGAAACTGTTATCCTGCCTTTAACATTCTTTAAAATGAAAAATCTGCAAAAAGCATTTTTAAAAAAGCAAAACCACACTAGTGTAATTGTAGTTAGGAAGACTTACTTTTTTTTTTTACCCCAATCTATAAATTTGGGGTTTCCCCTTCAATTTTAAAATTTTTTCTTCAACCAGAAAATCAAGATCTAGAGGAGATGCAAGTTTTCCTCCCACACCACCGAAGTTTTAGATTCTTAGAGGGAAAGGGAAGGAAGACAGATATGAGCAGAGCAGCCAGAGAGGTTCTATTCTCAACCATGATACTCTAGCTCATCAATTATGACATGCCCCAGCTTATATTCTCCAGAAATTAGAAAAATACACAAGAAGAGATCCTTGAATGACACTCATGGATTAAGGACAGTTTTCAATATTTAACAGTATTTTCGAAGTCATATATCACTTACTATCTTTATTCTACATATCAATATAGATGAAATCGTACAACAAACCTACTAAGAAATCAGAATACAAATGTCATTAGAATGCAATTTACTTACTAAGCAAAAAAACAAAACAGTCGCAAGATGTAATGTTCTAAGCTTGGTTTATACAAAACAAAATGAAATGAAAAACGGTGGTCATTTTAAGTGTATAATATGTGCACTGTATTTCTTACTTTGCTCTGGTTTAGCAGCTCGCTGATAGAACTTCAATTCAGTAAAAAGAGGTCCATTGTCACTGGGTTCCTTAAAAATACGAGAGTTAATTAGTACTAGCACTAGTTACAATTACTGAGTTATTTTCTGTGAACCTTCAAAACAGACTAACAAATCATGTTTTCTTCCAAAACAATGCAATTTTGACATTTAAATATTTAACTGTTTAAACATTAAATTCAATTCCTCGGAACTATTTTAGATATTCTCAGAATAGCCTCTAAGTTTTAAATTCCTCTCGAGTTCCATTTTATAAGTGATAAATTATACAAAATCATATATACAGCTCAGTCTTTGCATAAGTTTAAGAAAAATGTTTAAACTAATTTTCATCTTTATTAAGCTTTCCCTTAAGCAAAGACCAGCCACCATGTTAACTGTATCACCAAGGGGCTACAAGATATTTCTGAGATTTAATAAAATTTCAATACCTGGCTTAACCAATTAATGGCAAGATTCCATTCTTTTCATGTTTTTCATTACTGCTATACCTAGTGTCCCAGGACTGGCAGACACAGACCTTATACATTCTGAGTCTCCAGGACAAGCAAGCACTGTCCATTGAACTGTATCCTTTCCTTTCTAACATAAATTTACAGGTTTTCCAAACAAAAGCACTATACCACTTATTTCCCACGTGGTACTTTTAAGTCAAAAAAACAATGCAGCTTAAAAACAATAGTTTTCCATTTCATATTTTGAGGGTTATTAGCAATTCAAATTACTTATAAAGAGGTATGCATTCATAAAAAGGTATTTGCACAACAAGAAATAATAGCCTGCAAGGAGTTTTTCCTTATTAAAGAAATACGGAAGTGTGAGAAAGATCTTATAGTTTTGTAGACTTTTTAAATAGCAAATTTTGTCTGATTAATATGAAATAGTGTTTACTTAATGTTTGACAATTTTGTGTTGGTTATTATCTTCTTTATTAAAAATATACCATTTATTTCTTTACATTTAGAGAAATAAATGTGAAGCAGTGAAAACTTCAACTGAGGAAGAAAACATTTCTACACTGATATGAGAGCTGCTTTTCTTTCAGAGGTATAGGAAGAAAATTATTTTGGACGGCACACCTACATAGTTGATGTTTAAGGTTCAAAAGAGCATTAATTGAACTGATAACTGGCCCTATTAAATCCTTAACTGAGAGAAAACATGAAATCATGGACTTTTGGGGTACTGGACATGCCCTTTGCAAATACTTAAAATACATTCACTTTTGTTTTCATTCAAGAAAACTCTCACCTACCAAACAAGTTAATTTTGTGCCTTGAGGTTTATATAAAACCATTCTTATATATACAGTTGAAGTATCTCAGATTTACTGTAATTCAAAAAACGAAGTATTCCCAGTTAAAACGCTTACAGGAAGACTCTGGAGATCTGCAGTCAAGTGGCACATAGTTATGAATATTTAATAGCAAATGGGCAGCCTATGAAACACATGGATTAGAACCTAAAAATAAGCCCGCCTTATTCGCTACAGGTATCCTTTTCAACTCCACCTTAGAAGAGTGGTACACATAGCTCAGTAAGTCATCGACTCTTTAGGTAGGAACCCATCAGTATACTGAAGTCTGAGTGTGAAATCCCTCATTTGTGTGCTCAGCAACTGCCTTCCCATTGGCAACCATATCCAAAGGCATTTGTGAATGTTTTAGGCAAATGACCAAGTGAGAGTCACAGAATCAGTGGAAGAAATAAAGAGAAATTAAAGAGAAGGAATTTTGGTTAACTTTTGGAGCAGTTCATTAATAAAACTAAGGTTGGAAAGAGGCTTTCATAAAACAATTCCTGGCTTATTACTATCAGAATAAAATTCTGACTTATTAACTTGTGCCATATCAACTTTAATTTTTAAGCTTTCCTTCAGGTAGTAATTTATTAAATTTAAAATAATGAGAATCAACCATATAAATCAGGCCATTATAATGAAAGAAAGCCCACTACAATGAAGGCTGTTTGAGCTCATTTCATACTTTTTCTAATCCAATAAGCTTCCATCATAAGAAAATAAAGGAACTACTTCCTTGGCACTGCACTCTAGCCAAAGCTAGCTATTTCTGTTGAAGAAAATACCTTAACTCATAACTAAAATTTTATTAACATATTTCAAATCTAAAATACTTTGCCAACTCTATAATAGCCAAGATTTAGAAAAGAAATTGGGACTGACATTTTAACTAGAATATCACTAAACGTTTCTTTAAGACTTCTAAGTGTCAAAATGAAGATGACAACAGAAAAAAAATTTAAATGTGATACATTTCAATGGCACCATCTAAAAGCAACTGGCTGCCATTTAAAAATGAAGCTATACAAAGTTTCTCCTTCCTATGAAAAACTATGATATCTGAATTGAAAATTCAGGTCACTTCTCATAACATCAGCAAGTAAAATCAAACATCAGTCAGCAAACTTTTTTCCTGGGAACTCCGGAATACAAATTTCTATCAGTATTTCTACCGCACTGGTAAAGGAGCAGCATACGATGAACTGTTAGGTTATACAATCTGAAAGCCTAACCTCTGTCTCCACTTTCTGCTCCTAACATGACTGCGAAGGGGAAGTGCAACTCAAGCAACTAACTTCTTACTACTCTGAAGTCTGTTAGCAAGAAAAAAGAAGCTTCTTTCTACGTGCATTATCCAACTTATCAATTTCCCATTTCTCTCTGCCTACCTAGTTTCCTGAAAAAAAAAAAAAATCTCTGAAGAGGTAGAAGGCAGAATAGAAGCTTCATTCTTTGGTGACCCAGCATCACTATCCCACAGTTGCTTCCACAGGCTAAGGATGAAGGCCCCAAAGAAAACCAGAGACCACCACTGAGTAGGAAGGAGAGTATTTTTTGTAGGCACCTAAACACCTATCTTGAATATGTATGGCTTAACTTCACTCCAATGCCAAATGTAAAAAAATAAGCTAACTATTCAGATCTCTTTCACAAAGCAAATATATCAGCAGTAATCAAATTGATTGACAAGTCTTCCATTTTAAGGTGGAAACCCATACCAGAAGCAATCCCCTACTGAAGAAAAGGATCACAGAACAAAGACTTAAAGGGGTATACACATGATTCTACTTAAAATAATTAAGGTGCCCTCTACGCTACATTTTACAGTGATTCTCAACCCTGACACACCAAAGAATCACCTGGGGGGCTTTACTAAAAACACCAAAAACCAGGCCCTGACACCTAGAGATTCTGATTATACCATCCAGGATTGAAAAATCACTATTTGATAGCTATCACATCAAATATTATTTCATAATACAAATTTATTTGCCTGTATTTCTTTAATAACATTTGATTTTTTTCTGTAAAAATAAAATATATGCTCATACTTGAAAACTCAAAAACATTGTGGTGTATTTTCTTCATATATAGTCATTTCTATAAAATACTCTTCATACCATATGCAGAGCTTTGTATCCTGCTTTTTTGACAATTAAGTATGATGTTACCCCATGGGGAGTACATGTTCTTTGAAAACATGATCTTTGGGTCAGGAATGTAGTCAATAGTAAAGCACCTGTCTAACTTGCAGGAGGCCCTGGGTTCATTCCCATCACTGCCAAAACAAGAAAACCAGAAACAGAGCCTTTTATAGCCCCTAATGTTTTAAACAGCAAATATTCAACAAACAGTTCTGAATTTAATATTGGAAAAATGTGATACTCATTTTACATGTTTGTATTTAATGATATATTTCAACTTTTGAGTATTATAATGCTCTAAGAAGGTAAATTAGAATCCGTCCTACTCTCAAGAAAGGAAATGGCATCAAGAGGTTGAAAGAAGACGAATAGAAAGAATAGTAAAAATGTACTGAAAAATTATGGCTATAAAGTATTTAAGAGAATAAACTAAATGAACATTTAAGGAATGCATAAGGAAAACAAAGTTTGAAACAAGGTCTTTATCAACTTAAAATCTAATTAGGAAGATAAAACAAACACGTAAAAAAAATAGTGGAATGAGAAGATATTAGAAGTGAAAGTGCACAGTACTTGTTAATAAAACCAGTGATATAACAGTTTTAAGGAGTTCAAAAAATTAAGTATCAGGAGAAAAAGGAGCAAGGAGCTGTTACTGATTTTCCCTTCAAAGCCAAAGTCAACAGTACTGTCTCAGTGGTGTCATTCTTCCAGGGTCGCAAACCATTATAACACTGGAAGGATCACTGGCACATTAAATACAAAAGAGAACTCAACTGAGTATCTGTCACTGTCCTCATCACAAAGCAAAAAAGTGATAATGAAAAGAACTAAATTAGGACACAGGAGATACAGAGTATGGAACTAAGATTGATAACAAATATCTGTAAATTTAGAAATATAATTTGCTCCTTTTAAGTATATTGGAAATACCTATTCCTGCCCATTTTTTTCCATAACTGTGTAAGCAAAAAAGACAGTGAAAGTTGGAGTTAAACTGAATAACTGAAATACTTCTAATTATAATAAAGAAAATAATTCTAAAATAAAATACAACTTCAAAGAAGTTCATATTATATAGAATAAAGATGAACAGGTTACAGACCTGCCACTTCTGCCTATAAGATATGCACTGGCACTTTCCTTTCAAGACATGGAAACAGCTATGCAAATTAACCACCTCCAAAAGGGGTCAGAAGTAACCAGATCACTTGAACTTCATGATTATGAGAAGTCACAAGGGGCTTGCTTTCTTCTCACAACAGAAATCTCTGATCTTACCCAGATTTGAATATTTTCATTTGTTGTACCAATGACAAATGCAGATAAGGTTCTGCAATTCTATGCAAATGACCTCATTTAATAGTAAGAACTTTAATTCGTCTGTCTTAGCAGCAAACTGAATAGTTCAAACAATGCTGCTCCAAAATAAGAAAGAAAAATCCAAAACAAAAGGACATCAAGGAAAAGGAACTGACAGGAGGTATAAAGCACTGACACTAAACTTTAATCACTTTACTTCTGCTTCTGAGCATGAGGGAGTAACTGCACCCCAAATAATCCTTCCCAATGTAAGCAAATATAAAAGAGGCCAAAAATTAAGAAAGCACTATTAGAAAACAAGCAATCCAGGATCTTTTCTCTAAAATATAGGAACTGGCTGGGCGTGGTCAGGAAGTAGCGATTCAGAAGCAGAGATCAGAAGATGGCAGTTTGAGGACAGCCTGACTAAAATGCTGGATTTGGTGGTACATGCCTGTCACCCCAGGCAGGAAGCATACATAGGAGGATCACAGCCAAAGCTAGCCTGGGCATAAATGCAAGACTCTATTCATAAAATGTGCAAAGTAAAAAAGGCTTAGGGCATGGCTCAAGTGGTAGAGCACCTGCTTGGCAAGCTCAAAGCCCAGAGTTCAAATTCAGTATTGCCAAGGAGATAGACAGACATAAAGACAGGAAATACAGTGAGCCCCATGCAGTCCATCAACATGATGCTGATACCAAAGCCAAGTCATGAGATTAGAAAATTTTAAATTTAGAAATACTGCTGAAAGAAATTAAAGACCCAATATCCCTTATAAATGAAGATACAAAAATCCTCAACAAAGTATTACCACAGCAAAATACTTGCCTTAAAAGCATTTAAAAAGTGTACAGGCAAACTATAAACTGGGTAAGATTATTTATATATATATATATTTATTTATATACATATATATATATATATATGAAAAAGGCCTTGTATCCATAATAATTCTCTTACTATACCATTATAAAAATCAAAATGACTGTTATTTTAAAAACTTTTTTCAAGAAAAGAACAAAGGCTGAGGCATTCTACACACAGAAAGACACTATAAATGGCCAATAAATGCAGTGAAAGTGCTCACCATCAAGAAAATGCACTGAAACCACCATGAGACACTGCTACATGCCCACTATGATGACTAGAAAACACACAGAATAAGGTCAATACAAAATGTTGGAGAGGACATGGCGTAATCGCAACTCTCATGCATTATTTGTGGATATGTAAAATTGCACAAACACTTGGGAAAACTTTCCAATACTTTTTATAAATTTAAATACATGTATCTTCCCTATAAGCCAGCAATTCAAAATCCAGAAGAAATAAAACCTACACCCATAAAAACACTTGAATGAGAATGTTTATAGAAGCTATTCATAACAGTCCCAAACCAGAAACAACCCAAAAGCCTATCAACAACAGGAAAATGGAACAAATAATTGGCTGATGTAACAAAAATACAGACAAACCTTTAAAGCATCGTTCTGAGCATAAGCAGCATGCACTGTATAATACCATTCCCGTAACATTTAGAACAGGAAGAATTGATCCATAGCAATAATTCTCAGACAAATAATTGCCTCAAGGGTATGGAGAAGTAGAAGTTTAACTGACAAGGAACTCAAGGAATCTTTTTGGAGTGATGGAAATGTTCTATATCTTAATAAGAGTGAGAGTTAAACAGTTACATGAACTTAACAGAGGTCTTCTAACTACTTCTTTGCTAACAACCTATTTCCCTTTAAAAATTATACCTCGTGGTAAGTTTGGGGTTTTTTTTTTTTTCCTAAATCACTAAAGCAATTCTGATCCAAAAAAGTCACCACCTAAGGGGTCAAATATACTTCTTTTTGAAAAGAGACTATAACAAAACAAAAACTTGAGGTAATTCTAATCCCTGAGTTCTGTAGCCTTTAGGAATAAAAGGGGAACAGGAGGCTTATATGTCAATTTCCCCAAGTAAGGCATTCTGCTGGCTCTTCTAATTAACAAAACATGTTCTTCACATGTGTCAAAGAACTCATGGGACAGGAGCTGCAAATGTTAGTAAGCAAGAAGATACATAATTGATGGAAAAACAAAGACAGTAATTAAAATTTCATTTGGTTCCCCATGTATAAACTGACCTGGCTATTCAAAGTGTTTCTGTCAGATAGGATGCTGCTGAACTTTACTCATTATGAATTTCAACATGAGCATAGCAAAGAAGGCTCAACAATCACTATTAAATAAAAAATTAAATTTACAAAAATGGATAAGGAAGAAAAAATTGGAAATAAAACAAAATTGACCAAGTGGAAATCCAGGTGCAAATACAAAATAAAATACACTATTGCATTAAATTAGCATAGTCTTTCAAACTAAGAATACAAAAGGCATCTCATCTAATGAAAGAGCAGAAATAAAAATAATAAACTAAATGTTTTGTTCCACATCTGCCTAACCTCTATGCTTTCATTCACATGCTCCTAAACACCAATGCTACTCTTAATTCAAAAGAAAGCAAAGGGATTTTTGGACTCAAGTTATTTAAAATTACACAGCTACTTTTGTGTCTCTTTAATGCTAATGAAACATTATTAAACATGTAAAATACCTTACAGTTTAATTAATTCTAGTTAGCAACAAGGCTATCTTACAAATAAATACTGTACCAACTTTTGTTGAAAAAAATTAGCTAAATATTTTCTTACCACTTTTACAACACAGGGTGCGTCATTGCCAACCGATTTTGAAGAATTTGTATCAGCTGTTTAAAAAAGTGAAAGACTTCATATCAGAACAAGTAGCATTATTGTAAATACTATATTAATACTTAGGTCTGTATGTTTGTAACAGTATGATAGAATAACTTCCAGTTTCCAAATACAGCTCAGGATATTATTATAGTATACATTTTGATACATGAGAAAATGCTTTGATATTTGAAATTAGAGTGCATCTTATGATCTCTGATTTCTTAAATTTGATCATCAATTAACCACAAGACACTCTTGAGTTAAAGTTAAAATATTTCTTTAACTCAAAAATACTCATGGTCTTTGATATGCTGAAAAATATTGTGAATTCCCTGGATGATAACTAATGCAATTTCTTAAATTTAAAAAGCTATGAAATCTTCTTAAAAAGGAACATCTGGAGGATAAGAAAAGGAGTTGGAAGTCCCAAACAATTTTAGTTTGGGGAAAAACTCATCCAGATTAATGCTTCAGGACACTGACACTGGAACTTTTAGCTTCCATCCAAAATGATTTTAATGTGGTGGTCTTTTTATTCATGCAAGTAAAGCACATTTGCCTCAGAATACTGAGTTAAGAATATAAGACTGTCAATAATTATTAACACATATTTACCAAATAACTACTATACTATATAGCAGTTTCTAGGAAATAGGGATTTAGCAGTGCAGAGGAAAAAATAATCTTTACTCTTATAAAGCTACCATTTGAGTAGTAAGACACAGACAACAAATAAAATATGTTTGATGATAAGTGCTATAGAGCAAAAATTAAGCAGGAAAGGAAGGCTGGCAGTGTTGCAGTGTAATGAGACAGACTTCACTAGTGAACTTACTAGAGCAGTGGTCTCAAGGCAGGGTGAGAATAAGACCTGACACTACACAGGGAACAGCATTCCAGGCAGACCATCGCAAAGGCCCCAAGACAGAAACATGTTAGAAAGGTGTGTAAAGCCAAGAGGCTAAAGTAGCCGAGAAAAAAGGCAAGGTGAAAAGCAGGAGATGGATCACAAAATCAGCAGGGAATAAACAAGATGGGCTTAACAGCGACATCAAGGTTTTGGCTAGTACTATAAATGAGATGGGAAGCCACCAGACAGTTACGAGAAGAGGACTGGCCAAACAAATTCCAATTTTTTAAAAGACTTCCTTTAGAGAATGGTGTACAAACAGGCAGATCAGTGAGGGTGCTACAACAGTACTCCAGGTGAGAGGATGATGGCTTGAACCAGCATGAGAGCAGACAAGATGATGCTAAGTAGTCAGACTGGCCATATATTCAGAGGACAGACAACAGGATTTGATCCAGAGGGTAAGAGGTAAAAAACAAGAGGTGGGTATGGTTCCAGGTTTTTCTAAACATTGGAACTAGGAAATTGCTAGGAACAAACTGCAAGAGCTAGTACTTTGGGATATCTTAGGTTTGAGATGCATATTAAACATTAAAGCTCAGATGTCAAAAGGCAGTGGGATACATACAAGTTTTAAGTTCTTAAGAGAAGTCCAAATTGGGGAAATATATACATGAAATCTGGGAACAGAGAAATGCTATTTATTGGACTGAAGGCATGGCTCAAAGGCCTGCCTAGGCAGCCTCCAGTACTGAAAAAAGAAAATGCTGTTTACTGGGGTAAGAAATGTAACTCAGTGGTAGAACACATACTTTGCACACACAAGGTACTTGGGTGTGATTCCCAACATTGCCAAAAAATAAAATTTAAAAAGCTACTTATTTAAACTCCTGAGACTGGAAAAGAAGAAATCCCAAGACTGAGCCCTAAGGTGCTCTCCCATTAGAAGCAGAAGAGATGAAGAAGGACAGGCAATGGAAATCAAGAAACTACCAATCAACTAGGAAGCAGCAGTGTTTAGAAGGGTTGCACCTAAAATATTTCAGACCAAAGAAGAGCCATCAATAATAAAAGCAGCTAATACAGGCCAAACTCCTTAAGGAACAGCCCCAGGGAAAAATACCTCAATATTGAATTAGTAATAAATCAGGTTTGGGTTTTTTAACAAAGTATTAAAATGAAAATAGCATCCCAATAATAGTGCACATTCAAATGAGAACAAGGAGGAAGGAAAGGAAGTAATTCATCCAAACAATATGTACTGCAAAATATGCCAGCCACAAAGAAAACAAGAAAAGCTGCCCCACTGTCAAGAAGCACATGCTTAATCTGGAATTAAGAAAAGCATCACATAAAATCAAGATCTCAAAGGTATCTGCTCTCCCATTTTCACTGAAACGTTATATGTAAGTGCCGAGAGGTGGCAACGACTTAAGTGTCCATCACAGGAGGGTGAATAAAGAAAATGTCAACTGAGCATGGCTGGTCACTACTATAATCCGACTCCTCAGGAGGCAGAAATCAGAAGGGTCGTGGCTTCAGGCCAGCCTGGGCAAAAAGTTGGAGAGAACCCATATCAACCAATAAAAGCTGGGCCTAGTGGCATGCACCTGTCTTCCAGCTACACGGGGGTACAAGTAGAAGGATCACAGTTGACCCCAGCCCAGGCAAACAGGTAAGACGTTATTCAAACAGTAAGTAAAACCAAGTGCGCTGGCCTAGCTGAAGTGGGAGAATGCGTCCCTACGAAGAGAGAGGCCTCGCCCCAGAGAAATAGAGTGGGAGCAAGGTGGGGGGAGGGAATGAGAGAAATAACACACAATAGTGTTATGATTTGGATCTCAAGTATCCCCACCCCCCAAAGGTTCATGTGCTAAAAGCTTGGTCCCCAACTGATGGTGCAGCTGGAAGCTAGCAGACTTTCCAGGAGGTGGAGCACAGTGGAAACAAACTGGTTCACCAGGAGTGTGCCCAGGAAGGGGATATTGGACCCTTCCCCTCCCCACATCTTCTCTGCTACTGCACTGCAAGTGGACAGCTTTGCTCCTCTACACACTTCCCACCACGATGTTGTGCATCACCACAGGCCTCAAAACAACGGAGCCAAATGACCACAGACTGAAACCTCTGCAACCTTGAGCAAAAATGATCTTTTCTCCTTTTACTCTGTGTATCTCAAGTGCTTTACCACAGGAATGGAAAGCTGACTAACACAAACAGTACTATTCACCGTGAAAAAGGAAATGGTGTCATGTGCAGTTGTATGGATGAACCTAGAAATACTGCTTGGCTCCACTTACATGAACCATCTGAAATAGCCAAACCCATAGAAACTGAGACAGAATGGTAGATGCCAAGGGATGGGGGACGAGAAAAATGGGGATTCTTGTCCAACAGGTATAAAGTTTCAGTTATGCAAGATGATTAAATTCTAGAGATCTACTATTCAACATAGCCAATAGTTAACATAGTGTGTTATGCACTTAAACATCTATTAAGAGGGCAGATCTCAGCTAGTTTCTAATTATGAAGAGATAAAAGAAAAGACAAAAGGAGTAAAAAGATTATTTTTACAAGTGACAGATATGTTTACTAACATGATTATGGCAGTGGGTTCACAGGTGTTTACTGATGTTCAAACTCATTAAATTGTAGACAATTTTCTTTTTTTTTTTTTTTCAGCTGTACTGGAGTTTGAACTACAAGCCTACACCTTCAGCCACTTCACCAGCCCCTCCCCACTTTTTTTTGATAGGTTTTTTGGAAATAGGGTCTCACGAACTACTTGCCCAGGCTGGCTCTGAACCACAATCCTCCTGATCTCTGCCTCTTGAGTTGCCAGGATTACAAGCGTGAGCCACCAGCGCCCAGCTCAGACAGTTTTTTGCATGGCAATTATATCTCAAATAAAGCTACTAAAAGTGCTTTCAAAGGCTTAAGATAAAAATAACAAAGTATCTTAATTTTATTTTAATTATATATTGAAAGGACTTATGTTGCACATATCGTTTAAACCAAATGTACCATCAAGACTTTTTTTAAAGGGGCTGAGGATGTGACTCAAGTAGTAGAGTACCTGCCTACCAAGCATGAGACACTGAGTTCAAACCCTAATACCGCCAAAAGACAAAGGGAGAAAGGGGGAGATTCCAAAAAGAAGCATCACATACAAGGATCAAGAGGCAAGGGGCAGCATGATGGCTGAAGCAGATTCTGAGGAGATAAAAGGACTGAAAATAGAAAGGAAGAAAATAGAAGTTACATAGGAAGGGTTTTTATGTCATTCTTAAAAGTTTGGCTCCTTAAGGGAACTAGGGAGTTATTAAAGAGGTTCAAACAGGACAGTCATATGATCTGATCATCCTGTTATGTCACTTTAAGCCACACTGTGAACAATGGGATGCAAGGGGCAAGAACTAGACAGGGAAGATTCACTGCCACAGTGCAAGTCCAAACAAGACATAATGACCTGACCAAAGGTAGTCGTAGCAAAAGAAATGGATGGATTTGAGACATTCCGTAGTTAAAGCAATAGAACTACATGAGATGCTAGGGGTATCAGTAAAGGAACATTCAAGAAAACCTTTCCCATTTCTAGCTTAATGGGCTTCAATCACTCAGATAATCCTCTCCTATTCATGAAAGGATCAGGAAATGAAAGATGACATAAATTTTAGACATGCTGGGGACATCCAAGAAGAGATCTGCTGTAGGCCAGTGGCCATGGGTCTAGATTCAGGAGGTAAGTCCTGGATTACAGATAAAAAAGATGCGTAAATCAATAATAAGAACAGTAACAGAAGCCATGAGACTCAAGAGATCATTCACAGAGAATAAAGGGAAGGAAAGCTGAAGAACACAGAGGTACAGAGAAGTAAGAAAAACGCTAGGGAGGGAAGCATGTTACTGGAAGGTAATGAAAACAATTTTTATGAGAAAGATACACAGTATCAAGTGCTACAGAAAAAAAAATCCAAAGAAAATTCAAAGGAATCTAAAATTTGACTTCATTAACAGAAATTGCTGATAATCTTGAATTTGACTGTTTCAATGTAGCAACAGACAGAGATAAATTGGAGGCAGCAATATTCCAGTGAACCCTTCCTTCTCCAGGTTTACAAAAGAAAAGTTTTATCACAGAGAACCATCAAACCATTGGATATTTACAATACTATTAGATGGCAACTTTTTTTTTTTAGATGGCAACTTTTAACAAACACAAATAAAACATTTAGCATTTAGTTTACAAAAACAAATTAATTCAAAATGAAGGACCTATTTATTTAGACACACGTTCCCATGAATTTGACCTAAGTCCAAACATCATTTAGTAGAGGCTATCATGTTCTCTAAATCACAAAGTCAAAAATGTACACCTAACTAATGTAATTACTACTCTTTCATAGTTTATAAGAATATTCACCTTACATCAAATACAGCCTAGTTTCACTGGAATAAGTTTGGCTCTAAACAAAACCATAGAATCAACAGGTATTTTCCCTCAAAATCAACTGTCACCAACCTACAGGAGTCAAACGTACAAGATACAGCAAAGCACTGATTTTTAAGCTGTTTCATGAGGACAGGCTTAGAAGGGGCAGCTGACCAACTGCAGTACATGGGTCATGGAAGTTAAGCAGAACCCTCTTGAGTAAAAGCAGATGCTGCTTTATCTATGCCAATGGTTCTCAAACTTTAGCATGCACCAGGATCACCTAGACAACTTGTTTCAACATACTGCTGGGCCCTACCATCAGTTTTTTACTTGTAGGTTTTGGGTGGGGTCCAAGAATTTCCAATTCCAACAAGTCTACACATTATTAGCATTCTACATAAAACATTCCTTGAAAGAAAAAAGTTTCACCGTTAAAAATAAAATATTACCTAAACTTCCATGACAGAAATTAAATAACTGGTTAACTAATTAGATTGAGATTTGAGGTAGAATAACAACACAGAATGGAAAAGTTAGAAATATCAAAAGGAAATATGAATTGCATTATATCCTTTTAACATCCTTGGTAAAACAGCTTTAAAAAGCGATCAATTAAAATAGTTTTTAAATCAACATTTTAGTTAACCTATTGAATTTCAGGGTTCTACATAGGTCTCCAAAAATTTCAATTTAAGTATTTTAATTAATGGTGTATAATGACCTATATGCAATATCTAGGTCATTCTCCTAACTCCAGTACAATGACTATTAGGAATATATAGAAAGAAAAAAAAACCCACACCTGTAAATAATCTGTAAAATAAGTCAAACACAGACAAAATTTGGTAGGGGTAGAGAAGGAAAGATGCACTTGGCTTTCTTTGAATCTCAAAAGATTAAAAAGGGCTGAGGGCATGGCTCAGGTACAGCCCTGCCTGCCTAGCAAGTGCAAGGCCCTGAATTCAAACTCCAGTATGGGGTGGGGTAGGGGAGCTGAAAAAGAGATTAAAGTTATACAAAATAAAATATCTTAAAACCATTGTACTCACCAGTGACATTACATAATTTTATCCTTTTTCTAAGATAAAATAAGCAAATTGCACTCTTTGTCAGAGATGCATTTTTGCTTAATCATGCAATATTAGGTTTACAGCAGATTATTAGGAACATCTTGAAATAGTTCAAATAAGAAATCATTTTGATAAGAAAGCACATAAGTCTCTGGACTAATGGCTATCGACGTAGTCACAAACTTACCAAGATAAATACAGCCAAAGCCACCTTGGCCAATAGGCACTCCTAGCTTCCATTCCTTTTTTGACATGTCAGTTATTATCTCCCCAACTGCAAATTGTTCTGCAAGACGTCTCTTTGCAGGACCCTGTTTTCCAACTTGAGCTGCTTTCACCCGAGGCATTCTCACTACAATAAAAAACAAAGCAACACTCTTAACTATAATCTTTCATGTGTTCAAAATATTTCTCCCTGCAGAAAGCTTTGGTGTGACAGTGTTCAAGTTCCTATTTACCCCAAAACTTAAGTGAAGAGTACCTGTTATTTCTGATTTATAACAGATCAGATCCTATTTGATTATCTCTTAGCTCTAGCTTTATGAGGAGACAATAAACAAGATCTATGAAATTACTTTTAAGAAAATATTTAGTTTTATATTTCAGTGGCATATCATCTATGACTAAAAGGCTATTTTTAAAAAGATATTCTATGAAATTAAGAGGAAAAGGTACATCCAATTAAAACACAAATTGTCTAGTAACACAATAGGAGTTTATAAGGTCAATCTGGTATGATAAGTACACAGCACAGAGACTGAAAATACAATTAAACACGGCAGGGGGAAGGGCAAGGGCCTGAGAGCAGACGCTTTACTTAGGTTCCCATTCAACCTCAAGCCTGTGTAAAGATTGCATTATCATCTCCATTTAACAGATGAGGGACTTACGGCTCAGCAAGCTAAGTGTGCGGTGCACACATGGTTCCAAAGCCTCACCAACATGCTCCCCAAGTATGGAGGTCGCCTCTCAAGAGTCACATAAAAAGTGAAGGCAGGGACATCCGGTATTCCTATGCTTCACTTCTCACTATGTATTGTATGGGAGATGAATCTCAATCCACTTTTGTCACAAACATAAGTATAGCATAACATTCTTGGACAGCAGTGCTTTACAGAGGGAAAAAGCACTGAACTGGAATCAAAAGACGAATTCCAGATGTCACCAGTTAGCTGGGAAATCTTTGAACTAAGTCTCAAGTACCCTCAGATGTAACCCAATTCATTGCGTAAAAGAGCTCACTGTCTATTTGTGTGTATGCAAATATCTACACTGTGTAATTTTAAACTCTCAATTTTAAAGTAACAACTGAAAAGACTTCACTTGTTAAGACTATAGCTCCCTAAAAATGTAGTAGAAATATAGCAAAAAAAAATAATGATTAGAAATGCTATATTAGTGTACAATACTTGAAATACTATTTAAATGAAAGTAATCTGTTAAGATGTAACATAAACGTACATTATATAAGTTCAGCTTTAAGCCCAAATACACTAAATATATAAAACTATATTAGCTAGAAAATTTTTAACAAATACCCATTTACTATTACACAAATTCCACATATGTAAATAAATACTCTTTATTAATTTATTGGAATTTTTTATTTTTCCCTAAAGAATAATTAATGAATCTTTTGTATATGAATCTTCTCTAAGGTAAAAAAAATATTCAAAGTAAATAAATATGCTGCTGTTATTTCTTCATATAAAGTCTCTCAATTGATATGTTAGTGTTATTACTGTTACTGATAAACATCTCAAAACTAGGGGACAGTATCCTCCATTAGCACAAACACCAAAATTTGACCATCAACAAAGGAGGCTGGACTCCACAGCTCTAACAACTAAGCAACTGGTCTCTGCCCAGGTCAAAGCCTTGTGCTGAAGGGAAACTTCAGGGGATGCAGCGCAAGGTGAATGTCACAAGGTCGGTACAAATGAAAGCAGGCCTGTGAGCTGCCTCCACATTTTGGAACACTATCCAAAAACAAACGAAGAAGGAGTTCTAGACAATGACATAAAGCCAACCTGATCCCACCAACTAAAACTATCTGGACAAAAGGGAAGGAGACCATTTGCATGTAGTTCTCAGCAACTAGAAGCAATCAAGGCCTCATCCCACACAACATTAGTATTAGGGGAAAAATAAGAATGTATCATTTAAGAAAGACATTTCTTCCCCAAAAAGTTAACAGCTACAAATATTTCAAAACAAGGCAAAAATTTCCATCTACAAAGACTAACATGAATCTGAATTAGAAAAACTTATAAACTGTTAGAAAATAATTAAAAACAGAAAGACGGGGGCTGGGTTTGAGGCACAATGGCAGAAAACATGCTCACCTAGCATGCACAAAACTCTGGGTTGACTCCCCAGGACCCCAAAACAAAGAAAAATCAGAAATGAAGACTAAATTACAAGTAATGTAAGACTGAATAAAATATTTAAGCAAAAGTGAAAAGGAAAAACAAATTAAAAATCAAAAAGGGAAACTAGGCATGGTGATTCAGGTCTGTAATCCCAGCAACTAAGAGGCTAGGGCAGGAGGATCACAAGTTCTAGGCCACCATGGGCTACATAGCAAGACCCTGTCCCCCCCCAAAAAAAAAAAAATCAAGCCAGGTGTGGTAGTGCATGCCTGTAATCTCAGCCACGTGCAAGGCCAAGATGGAAAGATCTGAGTTTGAAGTCAGCCCAGGCAAAAAGTTACTGAGAGCTTATCACAAAAAATAAGTCAAGTTTAGTGGTTCACACCTTTAATCCTAGCTATGGGGGGGAGGTGTAGGTAGAAGGACCTCGGTCTGAGGTCAGCCCTGGGCAAAAACATGAGACCCTATCCAAAAATTAACTAAAGCAAAAAAAGGGCTAGGAGTGTGGCTCAAATGGTGGAGTGCCTGTCTAGCAAGCATGAGGCTCTGAGTTCAAACACCAGTACAACCTGCCCCCCAAAACAAAAATTCAAAAAGGACAAAAAGATAACTATGTCTCAAAGGAAAAATCACAAATTCAAAACACAGAAAAAGAAACGCCAATATACACATAATAAAGAAAATCAGGGCTGGGGACTTGATGTGAGTGGTACAGTGCCTGCCTAACAAGTGTACAATAATCACAGTTGTTGATACTTCCTTTGTTACTGTGTGCATAAATGTGGAATAGTACAAGTGGGTACAGTAGTTCCTCACTAATCCTCTCATTTACCCAAGGTCAAACAAATTCCAAAAATACCAAAGTAAAATTGTAGAAATTAAAAGTCTTAAGCTTTAAAACTGAATGCCACTCTAAGGAGCATGATGAAATATTGAGCTGTCTCACTCTGCCCAGCCCTGGATATAATTCATTTCTTTGTCCGGTGCATCCATGCTGCATATGTTGCCTACCCATTAGTCATAGTCATCTTGGGTATCAGACTGATAGGCATATTACAGTGCTCGTGTTCAATAAGAAGGTCAATAGTACTAATGCTGATCGTGATACCTAAATCACTCACCTCACCTCAGTAGGTCAGCACTATTATATGGTATGACATCTCACAAGAAGGGTGAAATGGTCAGAGAGACCACATTTGCATAACTCCCTGCAGGACACTGTTATAATTCTTATATCTTGGAATGATTCTCCTATGGCTAAGGGAAGACTATGGCAATTATCTAATTAGTCTATTATCTCTTTATGTCCTTAAAAAACTCACAATTCAAGTAAGGAAGATGGAGGACAGAAATGAGAGAAAAGACAGGTACAATTAACAATGCTGTACTCGAACTAGACATGGTAGATGCATGCCTGCAACACCAACACTGGGAAGGCTGAGACAGGAGGACCAGGAGCTGGAGGCCAGCCTGAGCTACATAGTAATACCCTGGATCAAAAACAGCACATTCAAAACACAGAAGCAGGAAACGTAAACAACAGGGTTTAGGAGATGCACATTTATAAAACTATACAGCAAAACATGGAAGTGGTTACTACCACAAACAACAGACTTTGAGAAAGCACGAAAGTTGTAATTAGGACGGGACACATGGCGGCCAAAGTTTTATTTCTTGACTAAGGTGGTGCTTATGAGAGCACCCTATCATCATTAAGTGTATGTTGTAAAGTTTTCTGTATTGTGTAGTATTCTATAATTTTAAACATTAAAACACTATCATCAACACCACCAAAGGGATCACCATTGGAGACTTTTTCAGACTTAATGGGCTTGTCACATCCTCACCCTCCAAAAAGCAAGAAAGGATAAAGAGGAAAGACTTACAAGTAAAATCTACACTTCTTACAAAGCATTTATTAGTAGCCCTTGCTCATTTTTCTTGTGGACTATCACTGTTGCTTTTATTTACAGGCAATTCTGTAGTAAACAGGGTAGCTCTTCATACTGCAAAGGGTTTGGCACAGGTTCTCACTGTGTGGCCAACCTGGTCTGGATCTTGCTATGTAGCCCAGGTTAGCCTCGAACTCAAGACCTTCTTATCATTGCCTCCTGAGTGATGAGATTACAGGCCTGTACCACCATGCCCAGTTTGCCTCTTGACACTGTTTACTCTTAGCTTTTGGATTTTATGTCACCCTTAGAAAGTCCTCCCAGTCATCAAAAAAAAAAAAAAAAGTTTTAAATAGCTCTTATGGTTTCTTTTATGGTTATTTTACAGTTCATACTTTGCTAGCAAAATTTTGAACTACATTTATTTTGGTATAAAATATGGGGTAAGAGTCCGGCTCTTTCCAAATGATTGGTTTAAACAAAAACAATTTTCCTCAGTCACTCATCCATTTTAGGGAGACCCATTGTGTTCGAGCAATTTAAATATAACCTAAAGAAACCAACCTAAATAAACTAAGCACAAAAAATATTCATATAAAAGTGTTCATATACAGGTCCTAGAGTATATGCCAGTTTCTTTGCAAAAACAAACAAAAAGAATTAACTAGAATTTGAAACTATGTTTGGTTTAAAATCTCTGTCCTACCTCATGCTCCACATGACTGTTAAGAAATCACTGAAACATACCCTGCAGCTATGATATAAAGAGGCCACTTTCTTTAAAATGTACCTAGATGAGGGGTCAGTAACAGTGAATTAATAAAACACTTACTCAATAATTTACCTCTTACAGTGTAGAGACACATAAAAGACTTAAAGAGATGGAGTTGGAACACCACATACTTGTACAGGGCAATTTAACATGATAGCCATTCCTAGAAAAAAATTGTACTTGGTGGTGATGATTCTTAAATGTGCTGGTGGATTCTATTCAATATTTTATTTAGGAACAAAATTGATCTACATAAGCCTGATCTGTAGATTAAAATTTTATGTTACATTTTTACTTTGATATTACTATTATGCTT